GGGCCTCGGGCAAACACTGAAAGTATTTCAGATTCTGCAAGACATTCATCTCCAAAGAGTACAAAATGACGGCACTCGCTGAACTTTGACCTCATTGAAACTTTTTTTAGCCAGTCAGCTGAGATAATATGTTTTCTTTCGTCAATAGCTCCTAAACCAATGCGCGCGTATTTTTCGATTTCCTCCGCGTTTAGTACATTGGCACCGGTTACCATGGTTATGTTTTCCCGCGCAAAATGACGGTCACACGTTTTCAACGGTTACCCGCTGCTGCTTCACTCTGATTGGCTAATAGCGCGTTTTTCCCCCCAGGGACTTGCTCCATACGCGTGAAAGTTAAGTAAGCCCAAAGCCTTTGCAATTTTCAATGGCGACAATGAGCCGCTCCTTCAGCTTCTCCCTGTTACTGTACTCGGGCAACAGAAGCCTGTTAAAACAGGTTAACGCTGTCGGAAGCCTGTCGGAGTCTTCGCCGTGGCGTTGAACGATAAACGTCAAGTGCACCAGGCCCTTGAGAGGCACTCTGTCACTTCCCGTGACAAACATGAGGAACGCTTTCTTCTGTTCCACGGTCATTTCATTGACCACCCTCCAGAGCATGATAATGGTGGGATGGGTGTGGCTGTACCCTTCGTCGTAGGTGGCTGCGACTTCAAGCTCGTAGAAATCGATCACCGGGCAGCCGCAGATCAGAAGCTCCAGTTCATCAGGACGGAATAGGGTCAGCACTTGACCTCCACAGACCTGGCATGAGAGAGAAACCGGTCCTTTGAGTTCGGTAGGTTTCATTTCAATAGCCACTGTGGTTTCATCCTTAGAGTTACGTTAGAACCATCTTGTACAGCATATTTAACACTACCACACGAAAGTGCTCAATAGCTTTCATTTGAATGGTCACACTTCAGTAATACACAGATTTCAATTGCTCAAACTTAAAATACCTTGTATTAGCAGCATAAACAAATACTGATATCAGCATGGACTGGTATTAACCTTTTTGACCGTTCAGCAAATTTTCAGTGGAAATAAATAAACCCGAGGAACAACTTCCATAAAATTTCCCTGGAAAATGTTCACACTAACCTTGTGAAAGCCCCGTGAAAAGGCTTGGAACTGTCGTTCAACAGATTTAACAAGGAGATGATTGACATACAGTGAAACAAACTGCTCTCGGTTGCCGTTTGTCACAGAAATGTTCTCGCCATTAGGGAGCAGTTCTACACTTTGCAGGTTACCAAACTCACTTGAGGAAACCTAAAAATAATACATTTAAAAAGTACTTTATTTTAGCCCTTTCCGATTTCCATTAGCTAGGCTAATTGTGTTGCAGTTTTGAACTAATTAGTAGCAAAGCCAAAAAGAATCGTGACCGTCCGCGCTACGTTGAAAGAATTTGAAAACGGAGATTTCACCCTGAATTTAACGCATCAAATGTTTTCCGTTCACACTACGCCGGCGGAATTTAAAAACGCAACAATCACCGGTCATTTTGGATTTGTGTTTGAGGAAAACTCGGTCAGGGAAATCACATGGTTTTCGTGACTATATCGTTTTCAAACGCTCCGTTTTCAAAATGCTCTCCGTCCGCACTAAAACGCCAAGCCGGCGTTTTCAAATTCCTCTGGTTTAAAGAACGTTTACGGAAAGCTTCTTTTTCAAAACGTTTTCCGTCCACATGAAAACGCAAAGCCGGCGTTTTCAAATTCCTCCGGCTTGAAAAGCGTCTTCGAAAAGCTCCTTTTTGGTGACGGATTAGTGTGGACGGTAGGCCTGACGGAAGAAACAAAGCTCCGTTTTAAAATTTCCCTTGCGTAGTGTGGACAGGATCTTAGTCTACTGACATGCGTAGTAATCTCACGCTTGCCTCAAAGGTCGCAACTGATACATAGTTTCCCGCGCTTGGCAACCTTTACATGTTCTCGTGCAGCCATTACAAGTTTTCTCGCCGTGACACTTTTTGCATGTTTTTTTCGTCGAGTTTTGATTGGTTTATTTCACAATACAGTGTATGAAGCTTGTTGTGACACTATTTGAAGTATCTCACTTTAATTCATTTCTCTAAGGGACCCCGCAATCACTGACCTGAAACGCCCTAAACGAGGTCAGCTTGAGAGCTGAAGTTTCGATGAGTTCTTCTTCACTGTATTCAAAGTATTACCATGCTACAGGGTGTATGAGTTTCTTTTGGTAACTTTATTTTTGGCATTATTGCTCGAATGTTCAGCGGAAAACATCTTAATTCATAAACATTACCTGAAATGTGTAGCAAAACGTGTCTTCCACATCACCCTCGAATTCCAGTAACTCCTGGAGGCTCTTGGCCAAGGAAGGCTGAATGTTCATCAAGTCCTGTAGGCCAACCTTCCCTCCCTGAAGCTTCTTGTAAATCACAAGTGGAAAATGTACATCTAATATGATGCCATTGTAGATTGCTAAGCCAAGAAGAATCCCAACCAGTTCAAATTCCTTCTCAGATTCAAGTGATGAGCTGTTGAGCCACACACAGCGACTTTCTTCAATGTAGGAGAACATTCCATAACCTGAGATGGGAGAGAAATGCAATAAAATGCACTTACTGATCTGCTTGTAAAAACTGCTAGTTAAAGTAAAACTAGCATTTCTTGCTTATTAAGGAAAAAAAGATTACTCAATTAAGCAATCATTCAGTCAGTGTCATTTACTCAGTGTGAGTCAATCAATCAACCAGTCATTCATTCATTCAGTCAGTCAGTCAGTCAGTTGGTTTGTCGGTCAGTCGGTCTGTCTGTCTGTCTGCCTGCCTGTGTCAGTCAGTCAGTCAGTCAGTCAGTCAGTCAGCCAGTCAATCAGTCAGTCAGTCAGTCTGTCAGCCAGCCAGTCAGTCAGTCAGTCAGTCAGTCAGTCATTCCATCAGTCAGTCAGCCAGTCAGTCAGTCAGTCAGCCAGTCAGTCTGTCTGTCTGTCTGTCTGTCTGTCTGTTTGTCTGTGTCTTGAGAGGGAGCCTTGCCCTGGAATTTAATTTAATTACTTGAGTTACCCGACCTGCCATCAAGCAAATAGTGTTTTTCAAAGAAGTATAAATCTAGTTTAGAATAGACTACGAGTTGTCCCTCTTTCGCTTAGTCTGCCATGCGTGATGTGAAAGAAAACTGTGAGAAAAAAATAGCCATGCGAAATCCTGGGGGTGAGCCAGGATTTCACGTGGCTATTTTTTTCCCACCGTTTCCTTTCGCGTCTCACACGACAGACTAAGCGAAAGAGGGACTTCTCATAGTCTAAGTGTAGAAGGTCAGGCTATCTGGAAATATTAGGGTTCGAGCACATTTTCCTAATCTATCACATAATGTGTAGGTATGTTACCAGGATCAAAGACAGCTTCAACGATCATGTGGAAGAATTCTTTTTGCAGTCCTCCCATGTCTAACCCCTGCTCTCCTCCACCAACATACTTAATCTTCAGTGGTTTCTTCAGGTCAACCTCCTGTAAAGTGAGAGAAAAAGAAAACAGGTTAACTTCCCAATGATTATTCCCTTGCACACTGCTATCTGTCTGGGAGAAGGTGTGTTGTGACATGTGAAAATATGCACCAATATTAGTAACTCTCAAACCCCAGGAAAACCTAACTATCTTCTGATCTAAGGCATGCAATCATAGATAACATCATTGAAAGAATATGTGGCCTGCTAACAATGATTTGTTGATTTGCTTGTTGATTCACAGTATGCCTTCTACTGGACAGAACGCTGCCATTCCCACCTACTAAATTGTGCCTGATATTTCAGGAGACACAAAGGCCTCATGGTCAGTGCAGTCATTGACTTGTGTTTTTGGGTGCGACATTTTTAATCATCACAGTGCCTCTCTCCACTTGCCAAAGAACACAACATCATGAATCCTGGTCTTAGGTCGAACCCACTAACCTTGATGTAGATCTGGTTTAACGTATCCTCAATCAGGTGATCTCGCCGAATTTCTAAGACCAGAAAAGGGCACATAGCAGACTTCACAGCATCTTCCAACTCATCGGCCTCGCTCTGAATTTCTTCCCGAAGTCTCTGCGCTTGTTGCACACGCGCCTGATGGACGATAGCATTTTGGTACTCAACTCTCATTTGCGATACAGCATCAATCTTCAGTACTCGCACCTGCATCCAGAAAGATATCAAGCCTTGGTAAGTTTTACGTTTATTTGCTTAGTAATATAAAGGAACATAAATATTAAGCAATAATATTAAATTTACAGTAAAGAAGAGAGCAAAGACTGCCGATGTCACTGCCTGACATTTTTACCACCATATCATGGGCCTTTCTGATTGAAGTTTAAGACAGTGTTGCGCTGCGCCACCTCTGAATGTTCAGCTTACCTTTGAAGTTGGGTCAAGCAGAAATGGAAAATCAAGAAGAGATAACTTCTGATCACTTTGTAATCTGAAAAAAAAGAGCCAAATTTTTATTCTGAAGTTGTTTAAAGCTTAAAAGTTCTGGAAATGGATTTGCAATGTCACATTATCTTATGCACATCAACAGATAAGCATAAAACAACCATAGAGCAACATTTTCTAGTGACACATTGGTTACCACAGACATCACTCTTCAAAATTCCCTGATAAAAATAGCATTTCCCTGACCAAAAAATACCAAATGGCAGATCTAGTAGCAGCCTCTAAGTTGTACTTACAGCTGTCCTCTCTACTCCTTCATTAAGACGGATAAGTTTTTCACAAATTTTCCTTCTTCATTAAGGAAAAATATCGTTGAGATCACAGTGACCCCAAATGTATCTTCCAGCCTTCAATTGTGTTAAATCAGCCGTGGTAAATTATTTCAATAATCCCTGACTTACTTCAAAATATCAATTTTTCCTGACTCAAACTAAAATTCCCTGACTTTTCCCTGACCTTGCTGAATTTTTTCCCCTTGACCTGTGGAAACCCTGATCCATAGTACAATTGTCCTTTTCTTGAAATACAGTGTCCAGGTAGTAGTCCTTGGTTACAATACCTTTTTTTTTTTTACCTTTTAGTTTCATTTGAAGTACCCCACATTTCATATTCTTTCTTAAAATCTATCTTTAAAGAGAGATCTTCATTGTAGAACTCTGAAAGGGAGACAAATTCTTCTTTGCTTCTCTCATTGAGCTGACAACAGGTGTCATAGAGTATAGCAAGCGTTTTGCAAGCTTCTATCAAGTGTGGTTTACTGCATTGACCAGGTGAGACGAGG